TTCTCTTACCATTTACTTTCTTGTTGTCCTTATAGGATATTTTATATGGACCACTGCAGCAGCCTGTTGTCTCCGTATCGGAGCAATGCTTCCTGCTGCATACAAGTATTTTTCAGTTTGAGGTGCTGGTGGCATTTATATCCAGTTTAGGCTCTTTTCATTTGGTTTGCACTGCACAAATACAGATGATGAGGGTAATTTTGAAGACTTTTACAATCAGAAACTCCCTTTTTTGAGTTCTTAGAAAATATAATTTAACCAATAGAAGTATGTGAGTTTGACCATGCAGGACATTCTGTGTTAATAAACTTGTAAAATGTTACTCATTATCTTGCCACAAATAAATTAAATGCTTTGCATGCTCCAGAGGTTTATGGAAAACTGTCAAAATGACAAGCTGTTTGATAGAATTTCTAAATATTTATTCAGGAAAGTGTCACTGTAACTTTTAGATACTTTCTTGTACCTTCTTTTTATTTAAGGACTTTGTCCATAAGCCATTTTTAATCCTGTTACAGTTTTAAAACCTCTTCGTGTGGGCTCCTGAACCCACTTTACATCCATTTAGATTTCTGAATATTTTGCTTTGTCAGGAGTACCTCTTTGATACACTCAGGCCAGTCTGCAGGTTTATTAACATTATTTCCTGAGGAAAAAAGGGCAGTGCAAGAAGTAGTGTTTGTTCACACTGGTAGATAGTCTTAACTTTGGAACATGATTAAGCACAGAAATGCATGGATATGTGTAAGCATTTGAAAGGCTGCAGCCCAGCTCAGTATGGCTGAACTGCAAAGACCTGATCCACCACCAAAGGATGAACAGTAGTTACTACTGGTAGTGTAACTCCCATCTGCTCTCCTGTGTTAAAGTGCAATGCCTCTATCACGAGTTACTATGGAGCTTCCTGACTGCTGTGTGCTGATGCACCGTGATAATAAAACACTTTTGCAAATTACAGGTGTCTCTGCAAGCATTCACAGGGTTGAAGCTTACCAGACCCATGCCTCCAACTACAGTGAATGTACATGATCTTCTTTCTGATTGTATAAGTTACTGGATCAGGAGTTCTTTATCTTTAGTAAAATGTTGATAGCAGTAGAAATGTGTAAGCTCAGTCTGATAGGCAAACTATCTTCATTGCCTTGTAAATGTAGCATGTTTATGGCACACCTTCTTGAATGATAAGGAACCCTTAGGAAGATCTATGCCCAAGACCTTGAAGAGTGAATTTCATAAAAGACATGTGAATTTCAGTGATTCAGTTTCTTCCTCCACTTCTGGAAGGATTCACTAGCCCACGAAGAATGGGCCTTCTAGTGATTCTGACTTGCCAGATAATCATGAAGAAAGATGTGAATGTGCTCGCTGTCTCCTTTGCTGTTAGTATTGTTAACCATAAAGCTTGTTTTATTTCTTTTTAGGTGAGTGCTGAGTTGATTCTTTATCATGACCAGCTAGTGGCTGACATTGTTTTATGGCTGACTGCTGGGAAAGCTTCACTGCAGAAGGAGCTGCATTGCACATAAAGTGGTGTTTGTGAAGAGCTACCATTCCACCAAGCTGGATGAGCCCAGGCTGACCAGAACTAATGAACATATCCTTTCAATAACAACTAATACCATGTAATGCCTGTACGAAAAAGGTAAGGCTTTTGATGACATGACTTCTGTTTTAACTGCTAGCATACAACGAAGTCTCTGTGCGTATCTGATAGCAGAGCACAGTTTTCAGTGAGACCCTCTGATTTTGCTAAAATTACCACAGCTTTGAATGTTGTTGTCAATGTTTCATTCAGTGTTTTGAATGAAAAATAAATACCTCTTCAACATGGATGCAAATGGGAAAAAAAAATCCCCTGAAACTGTGCTTAATGTGGCATTAAATCAGAAAGGATTCTGACCTCTGATAAAGGTACATGGGAGATAGGGTAAGGGAGAGGTAAAAAGCTGAGACAAACCCCCTACCTATAGCACTGAATGGGTGAAACTGGGGGGGGGGGTGGGGTGGTGGGTGAGAGGGCATATTTCTCTCCCAGGCTGGGTCTTAACTTCATGAGAGATATAAAGTAATTTTCTTCTATGACATGTCACCAGGAAGAAACAGATACTAACAGTGAGGAGCAACTCCCTCATGAGCAGGGAGATAGGGAACCAGGGCATCAGGAGATCTGGAGACAGCACGAGCCCTGAGCAGGCTCTTCCACCAGGCAGCAACCAGGCAGGCATGGTATGAAAAGCCTTAGAATCCCATTTCAGCAGGTGTTTCAAGCAAGGAAGATGTGAGAATTCCTCACCCCAACACTGGTGCTACCACAAAAGAGACACGGACCCAGTGAGCTCACCCCACAGACAGTGTTTTCATGCCACAAATGGTGTTTCAGAGGTAAGTTTTAGGCCTAATGAAGTGTGTTGAAGGTGCTTTAGTGATCATGCTTTTTGTTTTCTTCCTGTGAAAACTCTGTAACAAATCTGTGTGTATTGCTTCTGCCCTGCCTTAGGTATGATTTCATTATATAGGATATCATTATATATAGGATTTAATTATGTAGGATATAAGAAAGATTTGTTAACTGAATGACTTATGGCAGGGATTTAGTGTGGAATTCAGTTGCTGTCACCTCTTGTCTTTATTTGATGAAAGAGATGAAACTTTCTGCATTTTCAGAGTATTTTAGCAAGTTCCCTGCTGTTATCTGGATGCCTGAAATGTTATTTGATGCCTTGTTGTGATTTGTATGTTTCTCACACCGGGTGACATTAATATTTAATGAATTTGAGACCATCACAAAGAGAAAATTCGATTCACATGGTGATATAAGTACTCTCCTGTGGTAGCTCTCACTTGAGAAATTATTAGGGTAGATTTTTTTTTCCCCTATGGCTGTTGCTTTAGAAGGGTTGTGGCCTGACTGGAATTGGAAAAGGGAAACATAGGCACTTAATACAGATTTAGAAGTAAGAAAAAGCGTTTGCCAAAAGATTCAGTACATCTTTCCAATGGAATAAACCATTTGGATAGGTGAAAATCTCTTCTGGAGTAGTGCATAATAATATGTACCTTGACAGGCTCATCTAGGTTTAAAATGAAGGGGAATGTAAAGATGATGTTTCCCAGAAAAAGATATACATCCAGGTTACACACGTTATATTTATGTACCTATGTGTTTATAATAGTCTATACTATGTGGAGCAAATCTGGTACCCCACTTGTGTTTCTAGGGAATATAAACCCCTTTTAATAGCACGTAAACGATCATATTTGCCTGTGCAGCTTCAACTTACATGGACTGAGGTTGGGAGCTAAAAGTTAAGCTTTCTTTTCCCATAGAGATGTCTAGTGATGTCTGCAGGTTTGCCAGTACCATTTTTTTCCTATCACAGGTGCAATTTTAGCTATTTTAGGACTTCTGCTTCCTACCCTAAAGGTAGGTGAGAAATTGTGTTAGAAATGAGGTTCACATATCTTACTTTTTAGAACTAAGCTAAGGCTTTCAGACGTCTTGGCTTTGGGGGTTTGTTCTTAAAATTAACATGTAAATCTAACTGTCTTGATTCTTAAGGGGAAGGGGAAATGTATTTAAAGTAGTCCTGTGTGTACCAGCCTGCCATGCACTTGATTTGCCATTACATTTGGGATAGCAGCTCACATCCACCTCCTAAAGAAAGAAAATAAGAACCTGTATAAATCTGAAAACTCTTCAGACTCGTTTGCTTCAGAGAGTGTTTATTTCCCCAAATGAAACATCACAGTTTGAAGGAAAATGGTTTGTGAAACAGGCTTGGGAGGATCTGTCACAGAAAATGCCCCTGCCACACACTGCAAGTGTCATCCCGTCCAGACAGTGCGTGTGTTTCTATGTGCAAAAGCTGGGTTTCAGTGATGTCCGTGGGTACTACTGCCCGTGTTTCTACCTAGGACAGGAAAGCGTGGACCTACAAACGGGAAGCGTTAAGGAGAGGAGCTGCAGAGGTTGCAGCACCCGCCGGGTAGCCGAGAGACCGGGAAGGGAGGGAAGGGAGCGAGGCCCCGGTAGCTGTCACGCTGCAGCTCCCCAGCCCCTCGGGCGAGAGGCGGGGTGAGCCCAAACCCCGATGGGGAGAGCTTGGGCCTGAGAAAGCCTCTCCGGGCAGGGGGGCAGCGGCGCCGGGAAGCGGGACTTTGTGTTGCGGCTGCCGCTGGAGAGGGGGGACAGCACAGGGGCCGGGAGGGAGCGGAGCGCGGCGGGGGGGGGGACCGGAGGAGAGCCGGGACGGAACCTCGGCGGTCCAGGCCAGGCGGGGAGCGGAGCCTCGCCGCGGCGCTCCCGCGCTCCCTCCCGCTCTCCTTCCCTTCTCCCCTCTCGCTGACAGCTGGCAAGAGCTGCCCGCAAGCACCAGCGGCTCTGACGCCAGTCGGGCTGCGGGGCCAGGGACGAGCCCTGCGGAGGCGGCCGCGCTCTGCCCAGGTACCGGGGTTTGCGCCGCACCAGCCCTGCCACAGTTTCCTCCCCTCCTTACTCCTCCGTTACCTTTTCCTCCTCCTCGTCTTCCCTCCTCTTCTCCTCGGTCCCCTCTCTGCCGATCCCCCCGCCCCACCCGCGGGCGCAGCCCCCGACGCCGCGGCCGGTCCGGGCGGTGCTCGGCGGGGCCCGGGAGGGAGTGGCCGGGCATCTCCCGGCAGGGAAACGGGGTCTGGGGCTGGCAGCCTGTCTGTGCGTGTGTGCGCCGGGGGGGAGGGAGGCCTGGGGGCCGGGGGGTGCCGGAGGAGGGACTATGGGGAGAGGAAGGTATAAGAAGGGATGCGGGCAGGGGAGGGGGGTGATGGAAAGAGGGGGTGCGAGGCCGAGGGGCAGGCGCTGACAGCCGCTTTCCCTGCACCCACAGTCCCCTCCCCCGGTGCCGCTGTGGGGTGGGACTCCCCGGCGGGCCACTGTCTCCCGTCCTGTTACCCTTACCCACCGCACCGGGGTCGGTGCTGGGCCGGGCTCCCCCACCCGACGGCGCGTCCCCGGGACAGCGGCTCCTTCCGGGACGATGCCCCGGCGGCTCGGCGGGGGCTGGCCGGTGGCTCCAAACCTCGTCCCGGCCGCCGCTGTCCTCCTGGGCGCGCTCTGCTTCCCCGGGGCGCTGGCCTCGTCCCTGCTCACAGGTAAGCGGGCGCGGAGGGGCCGCTGAGGGTGCGCGCTGTCCACCGGCCGCCGGGACCCGCCGTCGGGCGCGGGAAGGTGCCACCGCGTGGTTTAGGGCAGGTGAACGCGGGAACCTCGCTCCCCCCATCCCCTTGAGGGTGATGTTTTCCTGACATCTGGGGCACGGAGGGAAACGCCGAATCAATTTCTAGTGCAATCGAGGAGCCATTAGATTGTGGGAAGCGATTCCAACGTGACACAATAGCGGCTAATCAGCGGTAGGGCCATAAAGGGATTTCTAGTTTGATGCCGTTTGACAGTCAGCCTGCTAATTTTGACTCATTTGCCAGTTGCCGGCCATGCGTTACAAGGATGCTTGGTTCCCGGCTCGTGCGACGCTCCTGGTCCAAGTCCTTGCAGTGTGATGGACAGCTTTCTGGTGATCTCAGTGAGCTATGGAGCTGTTGTTACAGAAGTCTCCTGTTTTGCGTGGAGTACTCGTTATTCTCCACACGTCATCTGAGAAGAGAAAAAGCGTCCTTCTTTGCTATAACTGGGGCACAAAGAAAGCCTAGGTTGGTGTGGCAATAAAGGGCCAGTCATTCCCTTTGGAATCTTACAGAAATGCTGAGCGTCCATGCCTGCTTGAAGTGGGCAAAGTAAGGCAAGATTTTAAATCAAAGGCTAGGGGTTAAACGTGAGTGTGATGAGGACAGTTTTCAGAGCCAGCTGGGGGAATTCTGTCAGTGTTCTAAAACCTGTGTTTCTGTTACAGGATCTGTTGCAAAATGTGAAAACGAAGGGGAAATTCTGCAGATACCGTTTATCACAGACAACCCCTGTATAATGTGTGTTTGCCTGGTAAGTTTGGATTTCAGATAGGAAGAACATTCAGGCCTGTGCTAAGAGTAGCTGCATGGAGAGGGGAATATTTAACATAATCAAATCTTGGGTACCTCTGTCGCCTTCATGTAACACAAGGTTATCTCAGAGCTGAGCTAATGGAAAGTAATCCCATCCATGATCTGGCAGTCATTTCTTTGGCTTTAAAACTCTGGGGCTCAAAGTTGTACGTGACTTTAATTTGACATTGCGAAACCACATTTACTATGCGAATTTGGGCCGGGGGGAAGAACAAGTCGGGGTGCACACAAAAGTCTTTGCATGTTGTTCAGCAAAGGGAGTGAAAGGTAAGGCTTGGAAATGCTGCTGCTTCGAGCTTCCATGCGCTTAGTGTCACATGGTGGTAGCTGAGGAGCAGCGCCAGGGTGCAAGGTGAAAGCTGCAGCGTGACTCTACATGCTGTAGTAAGATGATGGTGAAACCATAAGCGATGCTTTCATCGGGGCGCTTTGTTCCAAGGATGACGCTGCCTGCTGTGCTGGGAATGCAGTGGTTAATAATGTCACTAGCTGATACACATTTTGGGGAGAAACATTCCCTTTCCTTATAAACTCCACTTCGGAGTTAAGCGTTTTTGGGAGTAGTTCAGCTGGACAAGCCAAGGCTTAGGAGATACTGAAAAACAGTTGTTCTAAATAAAACTCCCTACAATGTATTTAAAAGAAAGCCATAAAACCTTAATTTGCTGTTGAATGCAAAGGAAAGTATAGACCAGAAAGCACTATGTTTTACATTTTGGAAGTTATAGAGTAGCTGAATGTACAGAATGTGCTCTACTTTAGGACTAAAATACCAACATACCCTCTCCCCCCTTCTATTATTGCTATTAATAATACTAGCATTAGCTAGCATTATCATGTCTGTAAGAGACTTAAAGAATTGTTTCAAACTGCCTTTTAGAAGGCAGTTTTGGCAACTGTAGGTCTCTGATCTTGAGCCTGTCAAGTCAATCGATGTATTGACTCCTATAGATTTTAAGTGAGACACGGTGATAACTTTTTAGCTAATAGTAATAAAGAATAAGTTATCAATTCTTCTGAGTAGAGGAGGAGGAGGAGGATGGGATGTGGTAAGTAAAGAAATCAAAGGGAAAACAAAAAAAAGAGACAAAGCTGTGTTTTATCATGGATCAGCTTCCCAAGTATGTCTGCCACCACTCTTGCTAATGGAATCTGGTGTTAACCAGTGAGGAAGCAATTTATCTGTGAAGGAGCAGAAGTTCAGCCTTGGGCATCAGGGCAATAATGCATCAGGGTAAAATACTTGTATTTATAGATCTCTCTAGACCTTGGCTTTATGAAATCAATGAGCACCCTTTTAGTGCATGAACATGAAGAACTGCAAAAAGCATTGGATGTAAGAACTCTAAATCTCTGTGGTTTCTGTGGCTTGCTTTAGTGAAATGGCAGCTGAGGGCATTTGGCTCCCCTCTGTGCAAGGAGGACACTATGTCTTCTTAAGAGTACAGATGCCTGATGAATTCCTGCAGTTACCTGCACTGGATACGCTCTCTTTTATTTTTGCCAAAGGATATATGTGATCTCTTTCTTGAGTTGGAAGCTGGGAGACCTGGTAGAGGAGAAGGAAGCCAGTCTGGAGATACTGACTTTAATGCTGTGCAGCATCCAAAGCAATTGGATAGCCTCTCGCTGAAATCTTTGTTCAGGCCTGCCACGATGGAGAAGATCAATTTTATGAGTCCTGGGGAGAGCAGAAACAAAAGAAACTATGTGGTGATTTGTGTCCAGGAGTGAAGAGAGAACCAGGTTTCCTTACATCCAACTGGAAATATTGTTTATTAGCAATTCAGTGAGGAACTTCCTCTAGAAGACTGCTCATACTCTTCAAGTGCATACCTCATGGATGTTTGTATTGTAAGAAAGGAGCAACTAGAGTGATTAATCAGCTGTTCCAGGAAGGAAGCATTTTTTGTCCAGGAGAGGACAGAACATTCAACATAGGGCACTTGTGTTAAAAACACCAGTAAAGTAACTGAAATACAGGATTCGATTATGGCAGGTCTTCCCTAGCAGTGATTCATTTCCATGGCTGCAAGCTGCCGTAAGTAACTGGACAAGTTATAGAAATCTAAATGGCTCTGGGAAGAAGAGGAATATCTAAATAACTCCCTTCCAGGACTTTCCCTATCTCACAAATGAGAGAAGACAGAACTGAAATGTGAGAACTGAATCATCAAGTGCTTGACAGAACTGACTGTAGGTTGTGTCCTGAGTGGGGATGCATCCCAGCAAGGGAAAAGAGGGAGGCAGCATAAGCAAAGTGATCTCCAGCTTTCTCTTCACAGGCTAAATCACTTGGGAGGGCAAAGCAACAGGTAGTGAGCTCTACATAAGCTCTTAGTTTGCTTCTAGCTTTTGTTTTAGAGATACTGTTGATCGTGAGTACAGAAAGGACACTGGTGTGGATCTCCTAGACACAGGCAAGTCTAACTACCAAACAAGATGAGTTCTTTCTTGAACATCTGCTGTAACATGTGGGAAGAGAAGTTGTGGTGGTAGGGAATTCAGACTGGGGGGTGTGTGCTGGAGATTTTGGGAATGGTACATAGTCACCCACTTCTAAAGTACAGATAATGCTTTCCTAATAAAGAGGCACTGCACGCACCGTGAGATAGCTCTGCTTGGACTTCCTGATTTGTGAAAATGAAACACGGTGGAGTGTGCAGAACAGCACTGATGCTTGCCCTTAATGTAAGGAAATAGGTAAGACTCAGTATGTGTGTTTGTAAATGTACATTGTAGCTCCAGGTACAAGAACAACCAGCTGAACAAGCCACTACAGCTCAGATGTGGAGTTCCCTAATTTGTAATTTATATGTCTCTACTTTATGGTCTTAATAATGCCCTTAAAAATAGTAACTTTTTAAATCTGTAAGACAATAGTTTCTGTGTGAGCCTTTACAATTACAACACTTTAGCGATGGTGTATTGCTGTCCAACTAATCATCTCTAAGCACTTAATAAACACAGGATGGATTTGATCTCCAAAGAACTGGTCATTAATTACAGCTGACTGCAAGAAGTGGCCACTTTTATTTTATTTTTAGAGAGAAACATCAAAGTCAGAGAAAGATTGTGGTTTATCCACAAGGAATTTCTTGTGGGAGTGTGATGAAAGCTCAGGTCTCCTAACTCCTGGTCTAATGGATTGACTACAAAGCCATCCCTTCTCACTTCATGCACTTTCACTTTACAAGTGGATGTGGGTTGTGTAGTCACAGTATGATTGCACTCATATTCTTTTTCTGTCTCTCTGACAATGGGCAGGCTGCACAGATGCCAGGATTTTGGTGTGTTGGTTCTCCTGAGCTCTCTGAGGCACAGATGGGCAAGGGCAGATTAAAGCTGACTTCATGATTGAGAGGTTATGAGAACTATGATTTATGACTTGCCATTGCTGTCTGCTTAGTGCTGTTAGAGCTAGTGTGCTTTGGTCTTCTGCCCACTTCCACTTTGCATGTCTGTGGTTCTGCATCTCCGAGGAGACATGCTATCTCTGGAAAGCCACCATGGCACCTGTCTTTCCATAGGGTTTGGGATACTGGAATAGGACAAAGCAGGCTGAAGGCAATTAAGATTTTTACATTAGGTATTAGAAGCAATGTCTTCCCTGAAGGGTGCTCAGGCATTGGAACAGGCTGCCCAGGGCAGTGCTGGAGTCACTGTCCCTGGAAGTGTTCACACACTGTGTAGATGAGGCCCTCAGTGACATGGGTTAGGTGGTGGCCTTGGCAGTGCTGGGGTAATGGTTGGACTTGATGTTCTTAAAGGTCTTTTCCAACCCAGCTGATTTTATGGTTCTATGATTTTGAGAGTACCTGCTTTCTTGTGCCTTCACTTTATGTGCTGTTCAACGAAGATACTGTTGAAAGCACTGGCATCTTTAGTATTCAGATCTAATAGGCAAAACAGATATATGGAAGTTGCACTAGCAAATGTTTTTTTTGTGAAGCTAGGTCACATAAAAGTGCAGGACAGCCCATTTCTGAGGGCCATGGGTGAACATCCCATTGCAGCTGTGTTTATAGCTACAGACTTCTCTGATGAAAGGATGGGAAATGATGCAAGCTGCAGCAAGCTCTGTATCAGAGAAAGATGAACAAGCGAAAGGAAACTCTGGATGTGATGGGCAGTAACAAGGACTAAGTCAAACAACTCTGTGAATTAAAAATACTGTTGTTGAAAAGAGGGAAAATATTATTTCAGATAATGATGTGGCCCTTGACAGTACAAAGAAAATATGTCAGAGAACATGTGACTGTGAAATTATTTTATGCTTAGTGGTCAATGGTAAGAAAATCTCATGTCCTGCTGGCTTCTGAAAAATCAAAGTAGTGCAAGTGTGGGTTATGAAGGTGACTTGAAAAAGCTTGGGTTTTAAAGAACTTGCCTGAATTGGCAATGATGATTATAGGTGAAAATACATAATCCTGATGGTATTCATAACGGAATTATATTGATTCTGTTTGAGAAATAGATTCTTATATTCTGGTTATTAAATCCTTTAAGATGCAAGCAATTGTAACTACACTACTTAATGCAAAAATTATCTTCTAAAATGCTCTCCTACCTCTCTAAGCATCTTGTGTCCTGGCGGTGTGCACTTGCAGCCTGGAAACCTGGGCTCCATCCCCGGAGCATCAGGTCAAGGGAGGGGATTCTTCGCCTCTACTGTGCTCTGGGGAGACCCCACCTGCAGTCCTGATCCAGCTCTGGGGCAACAACACAAGAGGGATGTGGAGCTGTTGGAGCAAGTTCAGAGGAGGTCATGGAGATGCTGCGAGGGCTGGAGCAGCTCTGCTCTGGAGCCAGGCTGAGAGAGCTGGGCTGGTTCAGCCTGGAGAAGAAAAAGCTCCTTAAGGGGAGACCTTAGAGCAGCTCCAGTGCCTAAAGGGGATACAAGAAACCTGGAGAGGGGCTTTGGACAAGGGCCTGTAG